TCTATTACAGACAGACACACCCCTCTAAAACACACACACACACAAACACACACAGCCACAGGTTTGTTTTTGTGAAATGTGGGGACATTCCATAGGCGTAATGGTTTTTATACTGTGCAAACCGTATTTTCTATCGCCCTACACCAACCCTACACCTAACCCTACCCCTTACAGGAAACTTTCTGCATTTTTAGATTTTCAAAAAAGCTCATTCTCAATGATTTATAAGTCTTTTGAAATATGGGGACACTCAAAATGTCCTCATAAATCACCTTCTTGTTGTAATACCTATGTCATACCCATGTCATTATGCAAATTTGTGTCCTCATGAATCACAAAAACGAGCGCACACACACACACACACACATGTCTCTATTACAGACAGACACGCCCCTCTAAAACACACACACACACACACATTTGCACAGGCAAATATCAGGGGTACACAGACGGTCACTTGCTCGATGACACTGTTTTACAGAGAGAAACAGACAGACAGAGAGAGACTTAGACAGATTTTGATAGATCAGACACACATTTACAGGTCTGGCAGCTTTAAACACACCGTTCACACACACTCGGACGTGTGTGAGAGGCCATGACGCGTTACTGTAGTCTGTTCCGCCGGCTGCTGTCTCACGGCAGAAAAGGAGAGGAGGAGGATGAGGAGGAAGGCCCGGTGAAGACCGTCAGCGCTGAACCCGGTCAGTCTCTCTGAAGTCATTAGAGCTGCATTAGAGTTAGACTGACTGACGCTAATGACTTTATCCTTTTCTGATCCTGTTTGCAACGATTTCAGTGCATGTTCTTCTAAAGTAGTTTGTCTTTTATTATCTTTCCTCAAACTTTCCCTGCTTCTGAAATGATTTTTATTTTCTGCTGATGTAATTAAGGCTGTGTGGGTGTGCATGGAGAAATAATACTAATCAATAATATCACAGCCTTATGATCACATTCTAATCAAATCCTGCTGGATAATGTAATGTTCCGCCCACATTACTTCCTGTTTAATATTCTAATTCTCTTCTACATTATTGTTCAAAAGTTGTGATTATTATTTTTTTTAAATCAATACCTTTATTCAGCAAGGATGCATTAAATTGATCAAAAGTGGTAGTATAGACATTTATAATATTACAGAAGATTATTATTTCAAATAAGTTCTGTTCTTGTGAACTTTCTAATCATCAAAGAATCCTTAAAAACAACATGTATGACGGTTTTCTATCTATCTGTCTGTCTGTCTGTCTGTCTATCTGTCTGTCTGTCTGTCTGTCGATCTGTCTCTGTCTGTCGATCTATCTATCTAGTTTTTTTGCATGAAAGCTTCTGCCAAAGGCAAAGAAATTTTAGTTTCACAGAGTTGCTGAGAGTTCAGCTTTACAGCCACCCTTGTGCTAAATTAACAAGCTCCCAGAGTGCACTGGGGTCACTGACTGTGCCTGGAATAAGAGCGGTGTGCGTCACATTTGACAAAAGGCTCTGTGAAGTGTCAGATTGGTACATCATTACTGTTGTTTTTAGCAGTGATGGCATTCTGGGTGCCGGACTGGACGTATCGCTCTGTTAGTGTTGTTTTGTGTGCGTCTCAGATCCAATGCGGTAAACATGAGCACAACAGACCGAAATAATGATGAAGAGGGGATTTGTGTGTGTTTGTGTGGATTAGCGCGAGCGTGTGTGTGTTGCTCTCTCTGCAAAGTGCAGCAGTAAAAGAAGCTCAACATTGTATAAAAATACTCTAATAAATATATCAATTGCACTCTCCAGTTTCTCACACCATTCTTTATCTCTCTCTCTGTCTATCCTTCTCACTCTTTCTGTCCTTGCTTCACCTCTTAGAGTATGAGCTTACACAGGTCTGAAATAAATCTCACAAAGCCAGTCAAAAACTTGTCATATTTCACCACAAAATCAAAAGAAAGAATTAAAAATTATATTTTTGCACAGACATTAAATCTTATCTTTAGGCCATTTAAAGGACTAGTTCACCTAAAAATTAAAATGTCTTAATGATTCTAAAATAGGCTGCATTTTTATTGTTTTGTGTGTGTGTGTGTGTGTGTGTTGAAATATGACATTGATATGTTTTCATAAAACACACTATTAGTTTTATAGTCCTAAAGGAAACAGAACTCCTCCATGTTGAAGCGTTGCTCCCGAAATTTGATATTGTAGAGAAACAGAGTGCACATCTTTCATCTTATCACTCAGCAGGTTATTAACTCATATTTTGTGCATGATTATCCGTGTGTCCAGCTGTGTTTTCTCATTTCAGCCCAGACACAAATATTTCATCACCTTGTAAATTACAGAGAGAAAGAGAATGCTTTATATAAGACTTTTTACATTGCACACTTTCTTTGCACCTGTAGACAAGATACAGAAATTATTTGTGCTGTATTCAGGAAATGTAACCAAATATTTAAGATCAAAGGTTATAATTTTTTTTTTTAAATAATCAATCCTAAATGAAAATCAGAATTTTTGCATTTCAATTTTTAATTACATTTTCCCTCACATTTCTCACTTGAAATGTGAAACAAATACATTATTTTACCTGTAAAATATTTGTGCACCATTGCCATATTTGTACGGCATTTAATTTATGCTGATTTTAATAAAGATAATTTATTAAAGTTTTATTTTACTGTAAGAAAATAATTCTTAAACATTAAATAAATAAATAAAATCTCAATGGTCCTAAAATAGGATTAAATGTATAAAATCCTAAAAATCTTAAATGAAAAAATACAATTTCATACATTTCACAAATGTAAAAGAAACAATAATTATGCATCTTTAAATCAAAATTCGTTAAACCTAAAATCTTAAATTAAAATGTTAAAATTAGATGCATCTTAAAATCTAAATTTCCCTCACGTCTCACATGAAATGTGAAACAAATGATATATTGATTTACTTGTAAAGTATTTTTATGCACCATCGTTTGTACAGCATTTATGCTGACTTTAATAAAGAAAGATTTATTCAAGTTTTATTGCACTGTAAGAAAATAAACCTTAAACATGAAAAAAAAAAAACTAATGGTCCTCAAATAGGCTTAAATGAGAAATCTAAATGTAAAATATAATTTTTTAATCATTTTACACATTTGGTAAGGTATATTGTAACGGCAGTGTATTTTTATCCATGAAACATAACTATGGTGTATTCTGATGAAATCAGGGAATAGCGGTGGATCCACGATCACCCACGCACATCACAGGAGAGCAGCGCTGCGTCACAGTCTGGTGGTGCGAGGGGTTTCTGCTGGGTTCTGCTGCCCCCACGTGTCTGCAGACATCAGCCCAAACACCTAAAACAGGATTACAAAGACAGTAAAATCACAGATGGGGATTCATTTTGGATCAGAATGAGGACTGTCAGTCATTGAAGGACTGTGTGTTGGTTTCTTCAGTTAAAATGTACACTGTAAAAAAAAATCTGTGACTTTTACGGTAAAATACCGGCAGCTGTGGTTGCCAGAACTTCACCGTAAAAAATATGGTAGTAACATTTTAGGTTTTACAGACTTAACTTAAATTCACAATAAAATACCGTATTTCATTTAACTGATGTAATGTTAATAAACCAACATGTTGAAGTACTAATATCTGTTTTGAACCATGTGCACAGTGTCATTCACACAAACACTAAACCCCATCATGGTGACACACATGATACTGAAATAATGCAATAAACATTAATTTAACAACATTAGATGTAAGATTAAACCCTAGGGTACACAACTGATAAGAAAAACTAAGAGACATGTTATTTCAACAAAAAAACATCAAATATGAATTGTCATGCAGGGAATTCTGGGAGTGTCAATTTACAGTATTTCACTGTAAATTATACAATGACTTTTTCTTTTTCACTTCCAAAAACCGTATTTTTTAACAGTATTTTACTGTAAAATTACATTAAATGTAATTACATTTATTCACCGAATATAGTATGGAAACTTACTGTTAACCAGTTAACAGGTTTTTACTGTAGCATTTTTTACAGTGTAGCCTATAGTTTGAATCCAGTGATGTCTGCCAAATATATTCATAAATGTACAGTTCTGCAGCTGAAAGAGTGATAGAACTCCAGTTTAATCCTGTAAAGCCTGACATACTAAAAATATATATATATATATATATATATTTTTTAAATGGAACGGTGTATTGAACCTTTAGACAAAATCTAAAAAAAAATAAAATAAAATGCATGTGTTTTTATGTTTTGCATCATATTTGCTATGTCATGCTTTTATGGCTCGTATAGTCTGATATAGTGAAAATATAGTCAAAACAGCTCAGTTTTATTCAGAGACTCAAACTGAGCAAAAATATGCAATTTGCTGCAGATGCTGATATTTATATGGACAAAAAGTGATGAAATTCTGATGCTTTACAGCAGTATTGCTAACATAAAATGATCTAAATATCAGTCATCACTCTCTATCTCCAATAATATGTCTTAGTAATATGATATTTAAATGCTTAATTTGAAGATCAAAACATATAATGTTCTAATTTATTTAGTTTTTAGTTCTAGATGTTTGAAACCAGCATGCAAACCACTGCAAGGAAAAGCAAGCATTTGTATAATTTGACTTTTTTTTTTCTTTTTTAATTTGGACTTTGTAGATAAAGCCCATGTGACAACTAGCCCCGGTCTCTCCTGTATATGAAGTTATTAGATATTAGTTTAGTATGCACACTTGTTTTACTATATTCCTAAGGGCCGTATATTTTAAAAAGTCATCACCTATATTGTAAAACCTATTTAAACTGACTTTAGAACACTTGCAAGGTCCTCGGTAGAAAAAAAAAAAGATTATAAATTGCCAATCTTGTCTTAATTAAAATCTAATAAGGTTTCTGTGAGGGTTAGGGGTATAGAATATAATTAGCTTGCTTTAAAAGCGACAGATGTGAAATGTATTTTTTCATTTTTCAACAAGCCCCTGCACGTGACGTCAGCGAGTCCCCCGTTACGTCACCGCCCACGATTACTCACCGGTGTGGCGTTCCGCGTCTTCCCTCGCGCCCCACGCGAAACGATGATGAATATCGGTCGTTAGCTCATCACGATGCTCACCGGGAGGATTATTGGTTTCCGTGTGAAGCTCCGTGAGGATGTGTCGGATGTGCCGCTGTAGCGCGTGGAAGTCTTTTGTCTGCGGCGCGCGGAGACTGAACCGGAGCGCGTGAAACGATGATGATGATGGTGACGGTGAAGGCGTCTCTGTGAACGGTCGGATCGCGGGACTGTGGCGGGACTTTGCGATGAGGATTGCGCGGCTGCTCCGGCAGAAAGGAGCGCACATGCTGCGGTGTCTGTGTGCGCAGAGAACCGAACCGAACAGCACCGACACCGGTGAGACACACACACACACACACTCACACTCACTCACACACACACACTCGCACACACACACGAGAACATGCACAATTCTTAATTGGTTTATATTAGGCTAAGCTAATTTATTTATTTACCTTATTTATTTTTGAAGACAAACTTCTTTAAGTATGAACACACACTCACAATCATATAAACACATACACACACTAAATGGGAACATTACAACTTTTTACAATTTTTTTCTATATGAAGTTAATCAAAAATAAAAATGTAATAATAATAGTAATATTTTTATTTTATTTGTATTATTGTTATTAATAATAATAATATTTTTATTATAATTATTATTCTTTTACCTTTGTGGACATCTTTAAAGAAAGCTTTGTCTAAATAGGAAAAAATATATCAAGCTAATCAAGAACAAAAAATACTGGTATGTATGTATTCATTTATTTATTTATTAATAATAATAATAATTATTATTATTTTACCTTTATGGACCTCCTTTAAGGAAGGTTTTGTCTAAATGGGGGGAAAAAATCTTGTTTTTCTATATCAAGCTAATCAAGAACAAAAATACTTGTATGTATGTATTTTTCTATGTATTTATAATAATAATAATAATTAATATTATTATAATTATTATGAATAATAATAACTAAAAGTTCACTTCTAACTTATGGGGATAATGAAAATGTTAGCTAGTCAAGAATAAAAAATTATTATTTTTGAATTATTATTATTATTATTAACAACTAACTTCTGTGGATAATTTTGTAAGTATGAACACACACTCACACTCATACACACACTCATACACACACTCATACACTCATGTCTAAATGGGAACATCAAATTACCATTTTTTATATATATATATATAAAGCTAATCAAGAAGAAAATATGTTTACTTAGACATACCAGTTGACATAATTCTGTTTTTGGACTCCACAGAACATTGTCTTAAGAGTCTTCTGGTCCTTCCACGTGATCTTTGGCAAACTTTAGATGAGCAGTAATGTTTGTCTTGTCTTGTAATGTCATGCACATGCTCTTATTCAGTGTTTTCTTGATGGTGGCTCATGAACACTATTCAGTGAGAGGCCTGGAGATCCTTAGATGTTAGATGGTTCTTCATGACTTGAATGGAATATTACACATTGCTTTTGCAGTAATTTGTGTTGAAAAACCACTCCTCAATAAAAAAGATTTGTGGGGTGTCTGTTTGGATTGGATTTGTTCCCAATAGGTCACATTTTATGCAAAAATACATACAATTCTTAAAGGTTCTTAAACGTTGTAATGTTTGATTAGCTATATAGCTAACAAAAATGTCCTACAATTTCCTCCGAAATAAGTCCTGTCCCATGAGTTTGAGTTTGGATTATTCTGTCAGTCTCAACATAAGCAGCTTCGTTAGACATTGTTATGGTGGCGATTGAGAGTTTATTCTGAGGAACGAGCAGATCTCAGTCAGATCATGCTACAGAGGGCCGCTCTGAGTCAGGTGTTTGACTTCACTGCTGTAGTGCATGTGAAGCTCACGAGAACAAATGTGCCTGAATGCACGTTTCAGCACCACGGACAGCAGAGGAAATGTGTTTGATGTATAGAGTCTGTGTGTACAATTGAAATTAAAATTAACTAAATTTTATATTTTAAATGTGTTATTTGGAAAAAAAAAAATTGGGGCAAATTCAAAGTATGTGCACCTCATTCGAAAGATTTTATAGATCTAGAAAAATGAAAATTCACCTTATTTTCTAAATGCATGTTATTGATCTTATTGCAAATGATCCATCCATGTATTTTCATTTGTAGATTGTTTTTTTTTAACCTCATAATGTGTAATCAAAATGTCATAACTGGATCTTCTAGTGAAATAACGGTAACGTGTGCAAAATCCATTCAACAACTGTTGCATTGAACCAAATTCCCTGCAGTTTCTCTTTTTTTGAAAATCTGTTACATTCGAATGTACATCACAAAACTGTGGCTACTTCTGTTTAAAAAAAATTGGTGTTGAAATAATTTTTTCTCAGAAATTGCTAGTAATTTCACAACAATTACAGTAAAAAAAAAAAAGTAACCCGTTGAATTACATGTGAATTTTTAATGCAGAACTTTAGAACTGAAATAGTTTTTTCTTGTAAAACATGTTTTATTTACAACGTTGAAAAATCCTTTTTACAGCGTATTGCATTTGCATAATTTATTATTATCTAGTTCTGAATGTTTTGTCTGAGAGGTGGAGATGCATCTATTATGTTAATAGTCTGATTAAAAAAATAACTGACAAATTCACATGCGTTTGTTCCTTCATGGACAAAATTCTGGCTGTTGAAACTGGTTCATTGAAATTAAATATTGAATTGGACTGAAATCAGAATTGTTGTTGGACTATATTCTTTCACAGGTGCATTGTGGGATCTCGCCAGTGGCTCTGAGCCTGATCACAGATTTCAGCTATGCATTTGGAAACGGGCCCAGCTTTTAATCAATGACCAAACCACACACACACACACACACACACACACTCTCACACACACTCTCACACACACACACACACACACACACACTCTCTCACACACACACAC